CCCACACACACACCTCCCTCCCCCAAACGGCTGCAAGACAGCACCCTTGCCCCAAGTCCTGCTGCTCCGCCCCTTCCCTTTGCTTTTCAATGCTGCAGCTCCGACCAACCCGCGCGCGGCCGCCGGACCCCCGGCCCCTCACCATCCCCAGCTCCTCCGCCACCGCCGCCATCTCCTCCGCCGCCGCCTTTGGCGCGAACAGCTTGGGCAGCGCCCGCAGCTCTTCCAGGGTGGGCTCGTCGGAGTCGGGGCTGTCCAGCAGGAACACAGCGCACCCGCGCCGCTCCGCCTCGCGCGTGAGCTCCTCGTCAAACTCGTGGGCCGCGTCGTGTTCGGGGCGGCGGCCATGGCTGGCTGGGGTCGGCTGGGGGCGGCGGGGCGGGGCGGGCGGAGGGCGGCGATGGTGACGAGGCCGGTGAGCAGGATTGTCAGGATTGTCCTACGTGGCGCGCCGTAGCGCGTTGCAGCTCGTCTAAACAGGAAAACTAAGAAGAACAAACTCCCCTACGTTTGCAAACTTGCTGCATACTGTATGTTCAGATCACCTGACGCGCTCAAATTCGTGTAGAGGTCCGTGAAGAAAACTGTCGTGAACAGATGCGAGACGATACCAACGAGAAGCTACGGCATTGCGGTACTGAGCGAGATCAGTGCGCTCACTTGAGACTGGGCGGGAACGCTCAGATCAAATCTTTGTGCTGCCGCTGCCGCGATGGCTCACCCTACCAGAGCGGCCCAGGCTACTGCTAGTGCAGCGTAGCAGAATAGGAACTGCAGAGCGTCTTCTGAGGCACAAGAAGACCACGCCTGCCATGCGCAAATTGTGACACCACCCAGCCACCCCTGGCTGAGGACCACGCACCCCAGCCACATCACACCATGCGGCCAGCCCGCCGACGCCGCGGAAGCCACCCCTGTGCAAGCCGAGCAGGAACAGCAACCTCAACACCACACCCGAACATGCTGCCAGATGGCAGCACACAGGAGGCCGCGAGGGTAGTCAAAAATGCAGGACACAGCACAGACTGTCCGAGCAAGCGACATGTACGCACCACCCCGTGCTGTCCTGCACCGCCCAGTTGAGCGCATTGATGCAAAGCACAGCTGGTAGGACCTGCCCTCCAGAGAAGTCGTTCACCCACAGCGCAGGCAGGCTAGGTTCAGCCCAATTCAGACTGTCAAGGCATTGCATGATCCAAAAGCAGTTCAGTTCAGCCGGCCAGGCTCCAGGGCGTGGCTGCCGAAGGTGTAGCTGCTATAGCAGCTAGATGGCAGCCTAGGCCAGCGCGCTGATGATCAGAGAGGAGAGCAGCACCTTGTAGGCAGGCAGTGTCCAACCAACTGCCCTGGTCCTTTGGGAATTGCAGCAGCAACCTGCGCATTTCAACACGGCATCAAAATGCATTGATGTGTGCAGGGGCACGAGCGCCGCTCGCTACCGGCGCAGGCACAGCGACCGGTAGCAGTGTCTGGGCAAGTGTAACTCGGTCAAATACCGGCCTCTTGCCACCCGTTGCTGGCACAACAGGCACTGCAGGGCTCCGCGTAGATATGCAGCGTACTGTACGCGGGCGCTGTGGCCCAGAGGCCCGCCTGCAGACCCGGCGGGCGAGCGGAGCGCCAGTGGTCGTGTTGTCACCCCCGGGCCGTGCCACCACGCGTCACCGCGCGCTGCCTGCAAAGTGGCACCTTCAAAGAACGAGCAGTCGCAGGCGACGCTGGCAATAACAAGGTAATGAGGTCTGCAAAGATCATTGTTGCCCATGCCACTCTATGCTGACAAGTGCCAACATCCCCAGACGTCAGCCTGAGGATGACGTTGATCTGACGTGTACCAAGTTTATGGTGTTACCAAGGTCTCAGTAGTGGATGGTACGACCTGATAAAGCTGCAAGAAGCCTGCTGCCCCGGAACAAAAACGACCCTTACGGTTTGCGCAAGGGCACAAGTTCGCCACGGCTCCACAATTCAAACCAACACATCACACCAACGTTCCACACATATAGATGCAGCCTGTGGCGTGACATGTATCAACATTCGCCCCAATGGCCGAGGCAGCATCCTGCCACTGCTTGAGCAGACTTTTCCAGCCTTGCCTCCCAGCTCACTCCCAATCAACCTTGCTCACCTGGACGCAACTCTCTCCCCTGGCGCGCCCAGCTGACTGTTTGCACTCTCATGCCCTCAGTGTATGCACTGCTGACGCCATGGAACCATCCAACTTTTTGTGTTAGCACCACAGATGCATCTACTGTGCCATGGGAACCTATCACGCCAGCTAGCGAGGTTGGGCTTCATTGTGACAACAGCAGCGGCACAGCAGGCGCCATGTGTGCGCGCGCTGCGCACCTCTGTCCTACCCCTTGCTGCGCTGCTGCGCGCTTGTCACGCGCAGGGATACCCCACATGTTTGTGCACACTGCTGCATGCACCATTTGCCGTGGGGCGTCTATTGGATGGTGGTGAGCTCCTCCAGGCACCACCCACCGTAGGGTAACGATGTGCGCCTCACGGCGTGCATGCGACTTCGGTAATATCTTGTCAGCCATCATAACCTTGTATCGCTTGCAGTTAAAGGGATTGGAGCCTTGTGACAAGGCATTACTGTATCACCGAAACCATCATAAGGTAACCTCGCAGTGTCGTTGAGCTCCCTTGAAGTTACCTTGCGCGCCACCCACCAGAGTCCGTCCTTGCATAAATTTTATGCAGCCGATTTTAGCACCACGCGCACCCCCTGGCAAGCTGTACTTTGAGTGACCGCGTGTTGTTTGTTTGCTTTCGGTCCTGTCTTCCTCGGCTTCATAATTGCCCCAGCTTCCTCGCTCAACTCATTCATTTGATTGACTACTGTCATGCACAAATTGTGACGGTCATATCAGGTGCCCCCGATCTGAAGGCGTCCAATCAACAGCAGCGACGGCAGCAGGTACCGCACCAAGGGTACTACTTTGAGCACACGTGACACCCAGATTACATTTGCACGCAGGTCGTGCGCCGTACGTGCCTGTTGCTGCTTGGCATGGTGGACTTCCTGTGACCTTCAACGCTGAGCAGATCGAGTGACTCAGTGACTGGTCATCCCTCGGCCTTGCTGATCCCCCTCCAATGTAGGTATAAAACCTTACAGCGCTCCCCCTGCAGCAGCAGCCGTGGACTATATTAGTACGGCCAGGCGCTTGCGTGGCCTTCCGCAGCATGGCGGCAGCACCTGCAACAGCGCGGCCAAGACCGGCGCCCCAGCTGCCGCTGCTGGCCGCAGTGCTATATCTGCTCATGCCTCTGTTTGGGGGCAATGCGGCGGGGACATCGATACCGTTGTCATCATCAACAGCGATACTATCATCAACACGAGCAGCAGCAGCCCCGACGCAGACGCCACCCGTCGTCATCACGAAAGCGGGCGTGTACCACGAGGTCATGGAAAGCGTTGAAGCCCTGCTGGCTGCCCCGCCCCCAATCGTTCAGCTCCCTCCGACATCAGCCGCAGCGACCCAGCCCTTGAAAGGGGGACGGCGGTCACTGGCTAATGTCGCCGTCCCGGAGGTGATTGTCCTGAGGACTCTCGGTCGCATCCCAGAGGGCAGCGGCGGCGGGACCAGTTCTGTAACAGTCGCCGCAGTCTTTTCCAACGCGCCGGCAGGGGTGAGCACTGTGCCGATGGCCCGCTTTGCGTTGGGGCAGCTTGGGGCGGCTTGTGGGCCTACATGTGAGGCCTTGGGGTTTCACATATAAAAGGGTGCGCCTTTCACTGCAGCCGCACCTGTGGTTGCAGAGGGGGCTGGCTGCAAGCCACTGCGTGCTCATCACGAGGGTGTCGCTGCGTTTGACTGCATGTGATGGGCATGTGCACACGCTTTGAGCTCCCTGAACCACCACCACCGCAACTACATGGCCTTCTTTGCGAACAGAAACAGCTCATTGCACATGCCCATGCCTCGCACACTGCAGGCGTCTGTTGTAATTGAGGTTATGCCAGGCTCCGCCACCATCCCAGAGGACTTGACAGCGGCAACGCTCACCGCCCCGCCACTGGGGCTTGTCGTCCCAATATTGTACAACGTAACTCTGGTCAACGACGACTTATATGAAGACGACGAGACTTTTGGCATAAGTGCGTACAGCACCAGTGGCCTCTCCTCAAACCCCGCAAGCGTCATCATTTCTAATGACGACAGTCCGCCTGCCCTCGTGGCCCCACTGCTGGTTGAAGTCTTTGAGGGCGACACCCCCGGGGGCGGCGGCGCCACCGTCAGCGTCCCGGTGAAACTGTCCAACATCTCGGTGGGAACATGCTGCCTTTGCCAGTGATTGTTCTCTTGCATTGCTCGCCTCCCGCCTGAATTCGCTGGGGCATGATGGCTGCCCTTCTGATAGTTAGTTTCTGTTGTGTTCAGAGCTGGGGTGGTACCAACCTTTTGAGTTTGGCTCCAGATTGGCAGTCGCAAGGGGATCTCAGGCGATGGTTGGTCACAGGGCGGCCCCGGGCAGGCTGCCACCCACATGTGGCCCAGCACTGCGACAAGTCATATGGGGCCAAGGCCATTCGCCAACGAGTGGCCAGGGCCCTTGATGAGGGGTCCAGCCCACTGAGTTGCCAGGGCAGCAAACAAGCATGCTATTCGCGGCTGCTTGCGAAAGGTGGCAACCTGCTGATACTGCAGCATTTCTGTAAGTGTGAGTTGCTGTTTAGCAGCCAGGTGGGCCTAGCTGAGCTAACCTTTTCGCGCTTCCATGCACGCACGCTGGCGGCAGGGCGTGGATTTGGTGCTGCGCTATTCAACGGCCGACGGCTCGGCCGTGGCACCACTGGATTATACAGCACTTCCCGTGTCCATGACGACTTTTGCTGCCCGCACATCAGACAAGAACGTAACCGTGGCGCTGACGGGCGGCAATCGTATACAAGAGCCTGACAAGAGTTTTGTCGTGCAGCTGGCGTTGTTCTACGGCGCCACGCAAGTGTCGTCAGCCAACGTCACCATCAACATCAAAGATGATGACTGGGTGAGTGAGCCATTAATGACTGTAAGGGACAGGCGTCATTGTGGCGCACTGGCAAACGGCAGGGTTTTTTTTGCGGGGGACAGCTAGTGCACTGGGTCTCGTTTAGTTGAGCGCCTCGATCGAGCGCCACGCAACCAGGAAAGGCAAAGCGGCTGTCAAAAAGTAGGTGCGGGCCTTGTGTTTGCAGCCATGCAGCTTACATGCTACAGTAGCATCAGCGAGGTGCGGGCCAAGCGGCGTGGTTTATCGTCATGGCTTCACTGGTTTAATTGCAGCATTTGATGTGTGTCAAAGCCATCATGCATCAAGCCATCAGGCTTGTCCACAGTTTACAGCGGTGCAGGCATGCATTTCACACGGAGGCATTCATTCCTAATCGCCAGCCAGTTCTCCACAGTGATGGGTTGCTGCGTCTGTCCCTTCATATTGACTTAGTTCCTTGCTTTCAATCTCAACATGCGCAGTTGTACGCCCAGATATCACCCGAAATCCAGAGTGTCAACGAGGGCGCGCCGGGGCAGACAACAGCTGCAACATCACAAATCGTGCTTACTGCCCAACCGGTGAGCGCATTTGCTACTGGCACCTCTGCGGATGCTGGGTGTGCTCCAGTGCGACCGCCGTTGCCAACTACTTCCAGGCTGAAAACGAAGTTCCACCTTCTTTTGCCACCTCCGTTTGACACATGTCCTCGCTCGTACCTCACCGCTCGTTCAACGCCGCTTCGCAGACCGTGGATGTGACCGTGAACTTCACCACGCGTGACATCACAGCCACTGCGGCTGCTGACTACACTGCCACAAGCGGCTCACTGACATTCACGCCTGCCAACTGGGCCGTGCCCCAACAAGTGACTGTTGACATTCTGCGAGACGTACTCTTTGAGGCAGACGAAACATTTGCTATCGACATCTCGGTGGCGGCGCCTTTTGCCTCCATTGTGAACGCCAGTGCCTCCAGCAGCATCGTCACCATCAGGAACACGCTCGTGCAGGTAGCTATGCACACGCGCGCACACACACACACACACAAACACACACACACACACACACACACGCATGCACGCACCCACACTCTCTCTCTCACACTCTAACTCCCACACACACACACGCATACACACACACACACACACACACACACTCACACACAAACACACGCACACACATGCACACATACATGCATGCTCACGCACACACACACACACACACACACACACCACGACCAGGGAGTGCGAGGCCGACGAGCAGATGGCCACGCTGGTGCCCGACATCCTCGGCGCTGACCCCATGGCGGCGGCGCTGCTCATCGAGTGCCGCGGCCGCGACGCCGGCGCCCTGCAGGCCTCCATCGACGAGGTGCGCCCTGGACTTGGTATCAAAGAACTCAGCGTCGCGGCGCGTCCAGCAGATGCTGGGTCGCATCAAGCTGTTGCATGGGAGGGCTCGTGCATGGAACGCGAGGGCAGGCGCCGGGACCGCGCGCAAGCAACGCGTGTGTTGTGCCAGGCGCTCCGCCAGAGGCGCCTCGCGGAGCACGTGTGCACGCACAGGTTGTGGCTTGTTCCCGGGCTTTCACCGCTGAGTCTGCCTGTACGTCGGATGCGACCGCGCAGGTGACGCGCGCTCTGGTGCGCCACGGGCTGCCGTTTGGCGCCAAGGCGGCCGACCCCAAGGCCATCGAGACCTACCCCTTCAGCCACGACGCCAAGGTGGGGCCAGATGGCAACAGTGCACATTCGTTTGTTTCTTCCGAAAACGCTTTTCGCGAATTGCGGCTTGCTCCGGCGGCTTGCTCCGGCTGCTTTTTGCGACACTCCGGCGCCTTCTGGCCG